TCCATCATACTCCATCATATTCCATCATATTCCATCATACTCCATCATACTCCATCCGAAACCAAGAAATCTGCTTTCACTGATGTAGTTGTGTGACACGTCACATCATTTTGTTCTGGTAGTGGCTTCGTCTGCCTCTTCTAGACACATGGCCTGGTCCAAACTTTTTCTCATAGGAGGGCAAAGTGTGTGATTGGTCAGAAGTTTGTGAGCCTGTCTGTTCATGTGGCAAAGCGCTTGGACAGTAACGTTGCCATTTCGCTGCATGCAAGCAGCATGAATAGTTTGAGGAGCAGTTGGCCGAAGCAGTCAGAACATATAAAGTTTGTCAAATGGTCCAAAACTCCTGGATGGAGTTTGCACAGACAATCCATCTGCTGAAAAGTGTGGAGTGACGTACACTGCAGCGTGAGGGGTTTCCTCTGCGTCGTGTGCCTCATGGAATGGCTTGTGCAAAAACAAACGTCTTGCAACCACGTGACCGCGAGCCGACTTCTTGACTTCTGATGGAGTATAAAATGCCCTTGAGTTCCTCCGGTCTTACTCCTTCTTTAGTGGAACATTATTGGCTTTTATGCCTCTGTAATTGTGTCCTTTTACCCCTCGAGTAAATTTTATGATGCTTTGTCAGCCTTTTGTTTTGATTAAAATAAAGTCAAGTTATTTTTTATTATTTAATACTGTTTGATTGTTTGTTCAATGGTCTGCAGTCCTGGGTCAATCCTTAAAAAAAAAAGTGAAAGATTCATTAATAATATTTTAAGAGGCTCTCTGCCATGTCCTCATTAGCTGTAACAGAAGTCCCCTGTACGGCACATATTAAAGACTTGAATTAGTATTAATATATAGTATAGCAGTATTTTATGAGGGTGAATGTCTGATGTTAGGTCAGTCCTCGGGACTCACTGAGACTAACCTGTATAAATAAAGGTTGAATGGATGCTGTGGCTGCCTGGTTAACGAACGAATGTTGGAGATTATGCTTCTCGGATCTATCTCATCACTGGGATGTTCCGCTTGACCTTTTTTAAAAAATAATAAAGTGAGAAAAAATAACAAGCGTCCTCCCTTGTCTTTTTGCCGTGTCAATAAAAACATAAGAAAAAAGAAAACCCACAAACAAAAACAAGAAAATTCAAACCAGCAATGAATTGTAGAAAGGAATTAACAATGGTGTGTACTGAAGGAAACATAATTTTATTTATAAGGAAACACTAGAGGAAGGCGCTGAAATTATATAAGACAGAAATGATAAAAAATATATATATATTTTGAAATGCAAAAAATAGTAACGTAAAAAATAAAAGGAAGGCAAAGTTGGATAAATTAATTGTCCTATCATCATCTCATTGCAACTTAAACTTAAAACTTGGATGTTTTTATTGTTACTTTTTTTAATACAATTGTATTTTCACTTGTTCTCAATTTGTACGCATCCTTTATGATTACTGTATAATTACTGTACACCGGGAAAACCCACGCATGCACGGAGAGAACATGCAAAGGCCCTTGCCAGGATTCGATCTGGTGACCTTTTCGCTGAGAGGCAACAGCTCTACCAACAGCACCATATCTTATCATATTATTTATTAATTTTTATTTGTTAGTTTGTTTGAACGAAAAATAAACAAAAAAGGTACAGTACATGTTTTGACAATTTTCCAAGCAGTGCAACTTTTCATCCAGTAAGTGGCGCTAAAACATCTCAAAGCCGCCTGACGGCCGCCAATTAATACGTAGAAGAAGAACTCGTTTCCGAATCCGGTTAAATTTAAAAACAGGCGGCAGCAGGCTCGCATCACGGAAACTAACGAGAAGGTAGGTTTAGCAAAAGTAGACTTATTTAAGACACTAAAAAGATTTCTATAATATTATAAAATATAAACAGTAGTTTGCAGTGTTGAAACACTCGTCTCTCAGTTGAAGGTTTTTGTTGTGCTAACCGCAGACACGCCGTTATGCTAGTGGAACAAAAAACCCTCAAATGACTTTCACTTTGTTTATTTTTGTTTTGAAGATAAAAGGATGACTGCGGACAACGAAACAGACATGAAGGAGGCGTTTCAACGCGCGCAGAAAGGCCACAACAACAAGGCGAAGCTGGTGGCAAGTTTGAAGAGCCGCTACAACAAGGTAGTCTTCACCAGTCACAGTTTGTGTCTTACTGGGATTTTAGGTGCTTAGTTCAGCTCTATGCTGTTCCTTTGTAGGCCTTGGGGTCAGATGAGAGAGACAAAGCTCTAAAAAATGTATTTATTTAAACAAAAATGGTTAGATCATGTCATCTGGACCAGTTACTTTGAGGGAGAAACGTTTCGTCTTCCATCCAAAAAACTAGTCTGTGTCCTGCCAACCAGATCTGTCCCATAAGTAGCCTTCATCATTTCTGTGTTCAGACTCCTGTTGGAATCTCAGAAGCAGCTTTTAACACATGCAAAAGGACCCGTCCGCCCAAAACAATCATCAAGTACAACAATCAAATGTTTTAGGCCAGATGGTCGACTCGCTACTCACAGAAACAGCCTGACAACACCAAGGCCAAAATGGTTTATTAATTTTAGGAAACTTACATCAAACAAGCTGCAAAAAAGCCTTTAAGGCAAAGTACTGAATATGAAAATAACACAGCAAAGAGCTGCAAAAATCATACTTTATTGTTTAAAAATAAACCCACTTACTGTGGAAACCATCTTTAATATGTTAAATATTCAGGTTTGTTGTTTAAGTTTATTACAAATATTTAGCTGTTATTGACTGAAAGCCTGCCTATTTATTTTATGCTGAGGTCAGACAGCTGGCACGTCCGACTGCTTTCAGGTTCAATTAATTAGAAACTTTTGCTCCTTTTAGAGCCTTTTAAAACATAATCATCTGAGATGGGATAGCTTTGTTTGACTGAACCTTGTCAGAGCATTTTGTCTTAACTTGTGCACTTTAAAGAACTTGAAAGCAGTGTTCATATAAACCACAGTTTAACTGGAGTGGATCATTTGTTTTGGATAAATTTCACACACCAGGATTAATTAATCCTGCTGATATGGTGCAGGCGAAAAACCCAGAATAAATCTCCGGCCATTTATGTGCCACTGCTTTAATGAAACTGAATCAGAGATAAATAAACCAGGATAAAATGTATTTTTAAATCCTCTGCTACCACTCATTCATCACAAATGTCATCTTCTACAGCTCGAGGACAAGACGCCGTTCCACGAGGAGTTTGTCCACTACCTGAAGTACGCCATGATCGTCTACAAACGTGAGCCGGTTGTTGAAAACGTGATTGAGTTTGTTGCAAAGTTCGCAGCAAGTTTCCAGACCGCACCTAAAACGGAGGAGGAGGAGGAGGAAGAGGAGGACGACGAAGATGATGATCATCCATTTCTGAGTTTCATCTTCAGCTTTCTGTTGGAGGTATAAAAACACAGTTTATGTAGAATATAAGTCATTTATTCTAACTTTTCTCTGTGGCATTTGATTTTTAAACACTACCTACTGTTTACAAATCAGCATATTTCACCTTATTTTCTATTTCTGTTAATTTCAAATTTAGGGCTGGACGATATCTCAATATTTAAAAAATATCAAGATAATTTCAAAGGCGATATAAAACGATATAGCCTTATACTCTACATCAAGTTATAATTATTCTTGAAAATCAACCAGTTTTTCTCCCAGTCTGCAGCCTTCACGCCACCCCTCTTCTCTCCCTCACTAAAAAATCAACCCTGCCACTCCCCGGCTGCTTGCTCCAGCTGAAGAAGCTGAACTTGGATATGCAGATATGTTTGTTGACGCTCGGTGGGAGAACCACTTTAAATTCCTGATAGGTGTGGAAAACGACGGTAGCTACTACAAAGCAGAGGTTTGGTGTTCTCCAGGAGATGAACTGGTTAGAGTGGCAATATATAAAGTTGTCTTCTTGTTAAAAAACATGGAGACAGATATCCAGTTTAGGGTGATTTATTTGCTGTTTCTTCTGTTTCTGTTTCTTTTTAAGTGCACAGCTGTGTTTTTGGTTTTGTTATGCAGGATTATTATTGTTTTTTCTTTAAACATTTATTTAGTAGTGTTAGAGATTTGTTAATAAAGGTGCCTGTGTGACAATTGGGACAGCTTTGACTCAAATATATTTTTGTTATTACTTTATAGAAATAAAAATATTGAGATGTATATCGTTTATCGCCATTTATCTTTAAATTTTAAGATATTAATTTTGGTTGGTATCGCCCAGCCCTAATTCAAGTTGATATCTTCGCTTCCTTCCTTGTGATTTTGCATGCTTGTCTTCATATCTTCTCGTGTCCACTGATCCTTTCCTTGCCGCAACATGCTCCATGTCTTTTCCCCCTTTTCTTTCAGTCTCATAAAGCTAACAGTCACGCAGTGCGTTTCCGAGCGTGTCAGTTGGTCAACAAGCTGCTGGGCAGTATGGCAGAGAACGCGCAGATTGATGACGACCTCTTTGATCGGATCCACCAAGCCATGTTGGTTCGGGTCACAGACAAGTTCCCCAACGTGAGGATTCAGGCGGCTCTAGCCATGGCTCGCCTGCAGCAGCCGAAGGATCCTGACTGTCCCACCATCAGTGGTTTGTTTTAACTCGATGGGCTTCTAGTCCTAACTTTTTATTTGCTTCTCAACTATAAATCTCAACTCTGTCCTCTGCAGCGTATATGCTAATTCTGGAAAACGACTCCAACGCCGAGGTACGACGTGCCGTTTTGTCCTGCATTGCCATGTCCCCCCAGACCCTTCCTAAAGTGATCAAACGCACTCGGGATGTTAAAGAAAACGTCCGCAAGCTAGCCTACCAGGTAGCCATCAAAGTTAATTTAAAAGCAGTTGTCTTTAACTTGTTTTAATAATGTCTGTTTTTGGTGAAAGGTTCTTGCTGACAAGGTTCATATTAAAGCTCTGACCATCGCTCAGAGGGTTGGTCTGCTGCAGCAGGGCTTCCACGACACCTCCGGTGAGGTTTAGTATAAATAATGATACATTGATCTGATTATCGCTCAAGTTAAAAAGTGAAAATATTATTTTTTGTGTTAATTAATAGTTAATAATAAATTTTGGGGGAAAGAACCGGTCTATTGTAAAAACCTTTTTTTTTTTTAAGGCTTGTTTGTGAAGTCCGACTTGTTTGTTTTGTAGAAGCGGTCAGAGAAGTGGTGAGCGGTCGTCTGCTGCCGGCCTGGCTGCAGCAGCTGAGCGGTGACGTCATCGAGCTGCTCCATCGCCTGGACGTGGAGAACTGTGCAGAAACGGCCATGGAGACCCTGAAGGCCATGTTTAAAAGCATGGCCGCTGAGGAGCTGCTGCAGAACAGGGAGCAGCTCGACAACAGGTCCCCTCTCACACCTCACGCTCTGAAGAACGTCTCTTTAAATATTAAGTGTTTTTTTAATATTTAGGAACGTGATTCCAGTGGACTGTCTGACTTGTGAAAACGTGATTTACTGGAGAGCTTTGTGCGAGTTCATCAAGGGGAAAGGAGACGACGGGGATGAAATGCTTGATCAAGTCTTACCGGATGCTTCTACCTACTCTGACTACCTGAGTGGGTAAGAAAAGACAGATGGAGTCAATTTTTCTTGTTGTCTGTGAGTAAACTATGATCGAGCATCTGATCAGTAACTGGTTGTGTAAAAATATTTAGAATGAACACGTAACATTTCTCCTCTTGGTTTGTTGCTCTAAAATATTGAGCTTTGTACAAATCTTTATAAATAAGGAATTCACAATTCAGTCCTCTTATTTTCTATTTTTCCCACTCAGCTACAAGTTTAAATAAAATGGAGACAAATATCCAGATATATAAAATATAAAAACGCTCTAATAATAACAAATCAGACAAAATGTGGAGATAAAAATCAGCCGTTTTTTCTGAGGCCTTTATGAATAAATAAATAGTCTGTTTAAAATGTGGTGACTTGTGGGCACCCAGACCACCCCAAACCTCTGCAGACACAACAATTAGACTTAAAGGAGGCCAGGAAATCCTCTAAGGTTTGTAGTGGAAGCTCTTGCAGTGTAAAACAACTGGTTTTATTACTTTGCAGCTTTGTTCTGACGCCCCTCAGTGTAGATCTAGTCAGAATGATTTTGTGCTTTTTAACATTTTACAAATGCATAAAAAAATATGGCCCCGCGCTAAAAGTTATAGGAATCTTCTGTAGGTAGGAAGTTTACTGAAGCGTGTTTAAAATGTTTTAAACTTTGCACGAGGTGCTGATAGCTGACCGGTGTTTGTAGCTGTGATGGAGCGCTCGTGCTGCTGTAAGAACTCTGCTGAATGTAACTTGTGTACATTTGGTTGCCTGAAGCTACCTGAAGATGATACCTGTGCTGTCTGAGGAGCAGAGGGCTGATTTTAATCAGCTGGAGCTGGTTATGACCAAAGAGTTCATCGCGCAGCAGCTCATCCACCTCATCGGTTGTCTCGACACCAACGAGGAGGGAGGCAGGTAAGACAGAAACGAGACAGTTGGATTGTTTCTGTCCTAAAAGAGTCTGGACGTTGCCAGATCTTCTCAGCTCATTGCAGAGGTTGGTTTGGACTGAATGCTTTGCTTGTAGGAAGCGTGTGCTGGCTGTTCTGCAGGAGGTGCTGGCTCTGCCTCAGACGCCCTCCTCCCTGATCTCCCTGCTCACTGAGAAGCTCCTCGCCATCATCCCCGACGAACAAAGACACATCCAAAGTGTAAGGTTCACTTTCAGATGTTTCGTTTATGATGCAGACGTCCTGTCCTTCGTGAGTTCGACCGAAGAGCCAGTCAGGCAGAAATGAGCTGCACGTGTCTGAAAATAAAGCGGTCTCAGTCCAGCTGCTGTCTGAGATGGATGCTTCATGAAGACGGTTTTGTTCATCAGGTGGCAGAGATCATTTCAGATGTGAGGGAGCCCATCATGGAGGTCCGTCAGGTGGTAGACGAGAACCAGAGCCGCCGACAGCAGGTCCAGGTGGGCAACACTCGCATGAAGTAGCTGCATTCTGTTTAGAGTGGATTCTCCAGATATTAGTCACATCCAAAATGATGGATTAGCTTAATAATGTTCAAGCTCTTGTCTTGTGTCTTGTTTTGGGGCTTTATTCATATTTTCTCTTTATCCTACACTCTCCATTGTTTACTCTTTCTCCTCTGTTAGCTGATAGGTGGCTTCATGTTTGTAAGAGTTAAATGGAAGGTGTCATTCATGCACACTAAACTAATCTTTGGTGTTTTGTGGTTTCATAGTTCTCCCTTTGCTTTCTTTTCCTTTTGAAGCTCTGATTTTTGTGCACAAGCAGACCGTCACCGCTGCGATGTTCGAGACCAAATACGTGATTTACAGACTACTGAGCGCACCGGAATATAAGCTGCGCCCACTACATTAAATTTTAAATACATTTTCAATTAAGTACGTACCAGTAATATAAACGAATACGTGCAGTAAATGTTTTTTTTTTCTGAGTGCCTGCCTGTAACGGATGGTAAAGAAAGAAAAAAAAGAAAGTACATTAGCCTACTAGGAACTCAGAGTCAGAGATTCTTTGTCATTCACACCTCATGTGGTACATGTGGTGGAGCGAGATTATGTACACAGGGTCCCAGTTACATCCAACAATAAAATGTATAAGAAAAACAGTAATAACATCTAAGATATGAACTAAGAAAAACATCAACTAAATATACACTAAGTCATTGATCGCTATCTTAATCTTCGTCCTGCGCTGATGAGCTTGTACTGTCCTCTTCATCACGCAGCTGCCTTTTGGGGGGGGGGGTGGGGGGGCCTTGTCTTGTTGAGCTCCAAAATTCACAGTTGAAACCCGTGCCTTCGTGTAAAAGGTTGTTTTTCTCTGCAAAAAGAAGCTGAGAACTTGTTTACTGATTTTTTTAAAATTAAAAGCTTTGTGTGAAAAATGCTATGCTAAAGAGCTCAAACCACCAAGCGTCCACCGTGTCACCGTGTCACTGTGTCACCGTGTCACCATGTCACTGTGTCACGTCAAGGGTCCTCCCTCCCATTTTTCTTAGACAAACTGCTCAACCATCCATCCTTTGGTTCAAACAGTCTTATACTGCCATCAGGTGGTCAAAAAAAGTACTGCATTTCAAACAAATCAACATTTCTTCTAAAATGACAATTAATTATAGTTAGATTTTAAACAATATTATCGTTTATCGCAATAATTTCTGAGACAATTAATTGCCCAGCAAAATTTGTTATCGTGACAGGACTACGAGTGGGTGCAAATACTTCATTGTGTCCCCAGGGAAGGGGGAAACAAAGTCCCCCAGTCACAAGGACCCACCCCACAAGAGAGATTGAATTGGGCAGCTATGTGAGCGCCCGGGTGTGCCGAGGCTAAACGTTTTGGCAGCATGAAGCTCGTTAGCCCATCAAAATAAAAAATCTATAAATTAGCCGCAGCATTGTATAAGCCGCAGTGTTCAAAGCCTGTGAAAAACATGGTGGCTTATAATCTGGAAATTATGGTAAATGCCACGAGTTTGTTTTCAACCAGGTGTTGACTTTTGTTTGTCCTGTGCACCACTGCTTCTGCTTGAGGGAGGAACGGTGAATTAATTTCAGCCTCAGTTGTTGCTGTTAATGGAGGCACAGTTTCCTGCTTCACAAGTCAACTGTATTTCCATCTCCTTTCGTCCAGCTTGCAGAGGTGAAGGTGCGTGTCCTGGAGGCTAAACAAGCTCTAGAGGACTGCATCACTGCCCAAGAGTTCAGCCGAGCAGCAGAACTCAAAGACTCCATCACAAACCTCGAGAACCAAAGGAACCAAATCCTCCAGGAAAGCTCAGAGAGCAGTGAGCCGGCTGACAAGGAGGTCCGAATAGAGAAGGTATGAAAGAAGACAGAAGGTGCCACGTGTCACTGAATACAGTTTACCCAGAAAGGATGTTCTTCATTAGTATCTTTGTATTTGTATGTTTTTTCCAGAATGACCCAGAGACTCTTCTGAGGTGTCTGACGATGTGTGCTGAGCTGCTGAAGCAGATGAACATCAAGAGACCAGTTGATCCGATCATAAGTGCCTTAATGTCCTCACTGGTAAAAACCTGCAGGTTCATGCTGAACACACAGGAAGTAACCTTCAGGTGCATCAGAGCTACGGGTCTCGTTACGACGTGTGGCTTTTCAGAAACTATTTCTCTTAGCTTTATTGTAAAATATTCACAGAACATGGCTGAAGGAAGTGTGAAAGTTAATACTGTAAAAGTGTAAAAGTATTTTCTGGTGGACCTTCAGTGCTTTTATCTTTGCAACAAAAGGTGACACTTTCATTTAGACAAAACAAGGAAAGTTCTCCAGGCTAATAAAGTGGAAGCTCAAACTCTGTGTTGTTTCCTCCGTCTCTCAGATTCTGCCCAGCATAGCGAGCGCTCACCCTGCTGTCCGCAACATGGCTATGGTGTGTTTGGGAACGTGCACGCTGCACAGTAAGGAGCTGGCCAAGACCCACATGGTTCTGCTGCTTCAAGTGAGTTCACCTGCAGCTGTTTTCTGAGCGTGCAGTAAATGACCAGCCAACAACTTTCAACCTCTACGACACCAAGATGATCTCCGGATGTCTTCTTGTCAGATCGCCCAGCTGGATGAGGTGAAGATCCGCATCAGCGCTCTGCGAGCCATCATCGACCTGCTGCTGCTGTTCGGCTTCCAGCTGCTCTCGGAGACGTCTTCCGCTCAGGCGGCCCAGCCCGACGAGCAGGACGACAACGCAGCGTCGGCGGAGGAGGAGAAGGAGGACACAGCACAGAGTACACTCCTGATGCTCTCAGAGTTCCTGGACAGTGAGGTGATTACAAACTGCACTGCCGCTCAGCTTCCCGGGACATTTTTAATTTATATTTGGGTCGAACGTTTTCAGGTGTCGGACCTGAGGACGGAGGCCGCACAGGGCCTGGCCAAACTCATGTACACGGGCCGCATCTCCAGCGCCAAGCTGTTGTCCCGCCTGGTGCTGCTGTGGTACAATCCGGTCACAGAGGACGACACGCAACTGCGGCACTGCCTCGGCGTCTTCTTCCAGCTCTATGCCCGCGAGAGCAGGTGCCACGTGCACACGCTGAGGAACGCTTCCTTACACCAACACTTGTGTAGATGATGTGAATATTTGTGACTTAATGCATTGTGTGTGTGTGTTAGAGCTCATCAGGAGGTTGTGGAGGAGAGTTTCCTGCCCACAGTTCGGACTCTGCTGAACGCTCCTGCCACCTCCCCGCTGGCTGAGGTGGACGTTAACAATGTTGTCGAGCTGTTTGTCGAACTCACCCGGCCCAGTGCACTTTTCAAACCTCCGACCAGCACAGAGGTGGGAGGCCTCAGTTCTTGTTCTAAGAGTGGGTTTGATGAGGAATGCACCTCTGACTGCTTGTGTGTGTGTGTGTGTGTGTCCTCAGGAGGTGTGTGTTCATGACTACCTGGCAGTGCGCATGCTTGGAGAGATGCTCAAAGACCCCACAGCCCCGGAAGTCCGTCTTTACACCAAGACTCTCAACAACCTGGAGCTCAGCAGGGATGAGAGAGTCAGGGAGGACCTGCAGACACTGCTGCAGCAGCTGGTCCAGGTTCATACACACACACACAAACCAAGTGTGAAGTAGATAAAGGTGCTCGGTGTACTGACGTGTTCAGATACCACAAGTTTAATATTTGAGATGTTCATTTTATTGAACCAAGACGAGATTGTCTTGATATTCAGTCATGTTTGAAATGATTAAAACTGAGACGAGGTGAAGGCAACACAAACCACCGGTCGTGCAAGAACTAAACCGCCGGTCGTGACAAGAACTAAACCG